GTTTAGGGTTTAGGGGTTAGGGTTTAGGGGTTTTAGGGGTTCAGGGATGAAGCTTCACGGCTTTGCTGTGATCTTGCGCAGCAGCTCTGAATGTTTTGATTTCAGCCTCCCTAAACCCTAAACCCTGAACCCTGAACCCTAAACCCTAAACCCTAAACCCTCGAAGGCTCGAGGGCTTTGTCAGATGCGAAGAGCAGCTCTGGACCGACCAGGGCCACCCCATGCCGTTTCAGGCCCGAAACCCTAAACCCTAAACCCTAAACCCTGAACCCTAAAACCCTAAACCCTAAACCTAAACTCTATAGACCCTAAAGCCTTAACCCTAAACCCTAACCCTAGACCCTAAACAGCAACCCTAACCTCTTCTTTTTAGCGCATAACTCGGCCTAAACACACTTTTGCAGCAAGCGGTGTCGTTACTGGAGTGCGGTTGTGCAGAAAGGACCCCATGACCCAAACCTGAAAGCTCCCGCAAAGTTAGCCACCCCAACGGCCACAATCCAAGAACATGAGTCGCACAAGGTGGTTTAGGGTTTAGGGTTTAGGGTTTAGGGTTTATGGTTTAGGGTTTAGGGTTTAGGGTTTCGTGTTTAGGGGGTTCACTTCGACTCGGAGGCTTCTGGGCTGAATTGTTCAGGGCTTAGGAAGGCAAGCGAATCCTCTCCCAGCAAGTCTAAGTGTCTAAGTCTATGTATGTGGCAGGGGGAGGATGGACATATATGTATATATATATGTATATCACATATACCGCTAAACCCTAAACCCTAAACCCCCTAAACCCTAAACCCTAAACCCTAAAACCCAAACCCTAAACCCTAAACCCTAAAACCCAAACCCTAAATCATAGCTGACCATTGTAATTCTGCTTCAGGGCCCCCCCCCCCCCCCCTCTCAGATCAACATTCCACTTCAGGGTTTGTACCTTGTTGTCCTGGAAGCTACTTATCATTATTGCTTAAGTCTATGCAATGATGTAAGTGCTAGGAATGCAGCGAAACGCTGATTGAGAGTTCCCGCTGGCTACTATTCTTTTTGAAACCCATCAGGATTTGCAAAATAGAATTCTTGTATGCGCGCTCAGTCTGTTTTCTCCTTGCTGCACATGTGCATTTTCTACGCGACCTATCTTTTCCTTCGCTTGTTCTTGGCATTGGTGGCGTCCTTTGCCCACACGTAGCACATAAACCAAGCTTGCATCTGGGATCTTTTTTTGGCAGCCAGCTTTGCGAGGCTGTTCTTGCTTTCGTCGATCTGCGTAGCATCAAGATTGGGATTGTAACTCGCGCTTGTCGAGGCCCTGAGTGTTCTGCACAGCAGCCCCAACAAAAACGACTAAGTTGATCAAATACTAAACGATGCTTCGAAACCTCCTATACAGCTGCAAGCAACTTCCCCTCGTACAGCTGGCCGCCTGTTAGTTTCACTTGATAGTGCGGCAGAGTAGTTGTCTTGTGGACCACATGCAAGGGCTGAACCTCGCTTGGCATCGGGTATCTGTCTTTCAGATACTGCGGAATTGTTGTAGTCTCTGACAGCAGCCGGCGACTCTGGCGGTTTGCGTCCCCCGCATTCACCGCCTCCTCTGCCTGTGTGTCGCCGTCGTGGTTTTGATTCGGTTCCTCCTCTTTGTTTCCTGTGTCGGCATCATCCTGCACAAATGTTGCGAACTGCAGTACTGTTAGCATATTTGCTGAGTGCGTATTTTTGCTGTTTGTCCTCGTCCTCCGCATCGATGTCACCCAGCATGTTCCTTGCAAACTCGACAGCAGGATCGTCTGGATCCAGCAAACCATCAGGCACCTGCTCGGTTATTCTTATCATGTCTGTTGAAGATTAACAAAAGAAGCTGCACCACCGAAGGCCTCATTTTCGCTCTCGGCATCCTTTTCATTTTTGGCTTTCCCCTTTCTTCTCTTATCATCCATTTCTTCCAGTTTTTTGATTAAAGCTTCGATGACCTCGGCAGAGCACGCCGACGTAACCTCGTCCAACTTCAAGAGCATCTTTATCTTGTACGTCTTGGTGTTGTTCTTGCGGCACTGCAACCCATACTTTTGAAGCAAGCAGGAAAGATTGTCGGAGGTGAGCCTGGCAATGCTGTGTGTTCTTACCAGGAAAACAAGGGCGGAGACACCACTCATTCCCCTGCGAAGGATGCATGCGAATCCCAACTTTGTCGACAGTGCAGTAGGCAACCAATGCAGCGTGTACTCGAAGATTGTTACCTGACAGCAGCTCGAAATCAACTATGAAGGGCTGCAACCAGCGATTGTTGATTTAGGTGATGCAACATGATTTTCTCTAAGCACAAGAAACATCACTGCTGCCTCTGAAATCTCCATGAGGAGCTTGAGCACTGGCTTCCTGGGCTTAGTGTCTTGTCTTCTTCTTTGAGGTTACTTCTATTTTCTTGGAATTGCACTAGCACTCATATCAAAGCTACGCAACATTGCACCTGGCAGCTTTGACGATTCAAAAGTCAGAGCTTTGACTTGCTCTCCTTCTTTAAGGGGATCGAGGCAGCATCTGTACTCGGTTGCGCGTGCCATGACCTTGGTCTCGTCCGCAGGCTGCGCAGGCAAGGCGTTGCGAAACACCAGACTGATCTCCCGCAGCGGCAACACCTTAGCAAGAAAAAGAACAGCAGCAGTAAAACATGTTTGTGAATGCTGCTGCAAAGCAAAGGTATGCGCTTCCCGTGCGAACAGGACACGTAGAGAAGAGCAGGATTGTTTCCCAAGCATAAGTAGAACTTATCCCTGAGCTTCAGCAATGTTCCGCGCTGCATCACGTTGGGGGCCCAGAAATTCTCGCTTTCCGCGACCGCATCTTTTCCCTGCCTCAGCTTCTATCACCGCAGTTTATGTTAAGTAACAGATCTCACAATTAGCAGACCAGCTGCGAATCTGCCTGGAGCAAGCCCTGGAACCAGTTCAGTTGGCTTTTGCAGTGATTGAAGGCTGACGTCGAAGGAAACGGTTTCAGAATCGCATCCATATCCAGATCATCACCTGGGATCTTCTTGGTTTCTAAGCGTTCTTTGAACACGACACAATATATAAAGGCACAAGCGAGAAAAATCATTTACAGTAATATCATGTCGAATTGCTGCTGCTTGCTGAGTTGGGGTGCCATATTTTGGGTTTGATACCACGCACATTCGTTCCCTCGAAGTCAGCTGACTCCAGGGATACTGTCTTGGGGCCGTCCTGGGTACACATCCGTTTCTGGAAGGAACGGATGGCGCAGCATTGAAGATTACACATGGCTGACTCGTTGTTCTTCGTGGAACGCAGCACGCTGTCTTGTATGCTGGCGAACACATCCTCCACGTTGGAGGAGCCACCTACCTTTGGGTGCCAAGCAAGCAGGAGCTGCTTCACGCTTTCATTCACTTTCCACTCATTTTGCTGCATAAACAGATTCACTTCTCGAAAGCAGCGGTAGCCAACCCATGGACAGGCTTTGTATAAGATTTCGCGGGCGGTCTTGTCGTCCTCCATTTTCAGGACAAGGTTCCATTCTGCCTGCATTTCCTGCGCGATCTGTTTCTGAACGAACAACTTTTCCTGGTTTTCGGAAGCATCCAAAACCAGAGCGGCAGCTTTGCTGGGAGGGCTTTGCAAATACAAAGAGTACAGTGTCAACTCCATCATGCACGTCAGCGTTGCATGCAAGTGATCCCACAGGAGGCAGTCAGCAGCCTCGGCTCTTCGCTTGATCACAGCCATCACCTGCTGCATGTTATCCATGAAAACACACACATTGACTGTGCTTATTTTAATTTCCAAATCAAGCAGAGGCTTGCGGCTAGTCCGCGACTAGTGTCTTTTTGTTTTGGGTCTCTCCTGTGCATGTGGACGGCTGCTTCCCTTTTTCTGGGTTTGGGGTTTTGCACTGCTACCAAATCATCATATAGGTTCCTTCTGCGAATCTGAGGATTGCACTCTTTCTTCTGTTTGCATGATGTTTCAGTCACTGCAAGATTACCTCAATCACTCGACTCTTCTAGGGCAGCGGAAAGTCCGCGCCAGTGACTTGAGCGGATTGGCCGCCTTTTCCAGTACTTACACCAGCAGCACAATCACTCTTGATCTCTTCACGAACCGTGCTGTTCTTGTTTTTCTTTCTGCGGATTTGCGTACGGCGGTCTGGCTTCTACGTTCCAGCACTTCATCTAATAACTTGCAAGTAAATTATGGCTGCAGGAGCACGACAGCAAAAGGCATGGGTGGCATGACCCAGCACCTTTGTTTAAAGAGTCCACAGCAGGAAACAGAAATCACTCGCTATGTTACAAGCTACTTCCTTGGATCAGCGCGTAGTAGACACGAATCTTGCGCCTGAAGTGATACACCATTGCTTCCCACTTTCTCTTGCTGAACTTGGCCTGCGGTATCTTCGGTGTAACTGGCGGAGACTCTATGCCCTCCACGTCCTGGAAGCCCAAATTTTTCGACTTCAGGACACAGGATACCAGCTGATACTCGTCGGAGCGCTTGATGGCACATATGGCGAGGTGACGCTTGAGTTTCTTCTCTTCCTCTGTTAGCAGGCGCGGTTCGGTCGAGGAAGACTGCGCGGAATCCATAGCTCTTTGATGCTTAGTGTCGACTGAGCCAAATGTTCTGTGAAGAAGGAACAGCAACGTGTTTTCATCAGACCACATAATGTCTAGTAGCTAGCCCAACAGCGGTGAGGCCTGGGTGCCGTTGATATCTTCCAGACGCAAATCGACAGCCATATCCAGTCGAGACATGCTCTCAACGCTGAAAGCGTCAACCAGCACGTTGTTCACGACGGCTGCATACTTGGGGCTGTTGCAGAAGAGAGTGTGCTCGTGCACAGCGAAGTTCGTGGCTTTGTTGCTTTGCTTGGCGATATGCAAGAAACTCACATTCAAGTATGAACAATGTGCGAGACTGCAACTAACTACTGGGCAGATTGCAGGCATGGCACGAGCCAAAGAACCATGTCGCACCATGGCTTGCAAATGTGACTCAAGGAACTGAAAAGTCGATGAGCTTCCTCGTCCAGTAAGGCCTTGCTTCAGGAATACAGGACAGGAAAATCAATCTAGAACGAGGGGTACGAGCCTTCATGCAGAGGTCCACCACCTTCTCGTAGTCTTCCCCTCCTTCTCCTTTTCCGCATTGCACAAATGGATTGCGACCGACCTGTTGCGTTTCACACTCATGTGACATGGGAACATGCAGCATTTCACAGTGTTTCGCCTCCATGCCAGCCCACGTAAGGATCAAAAGCGTCGCTGTGTAGTACGGGCCGAAAATATTCGCGCAGAAGGCCCAGCTGCACCATCGTTTCTGTTCATGTAGGGGTCCTTGTCGCCTGGCTAAAAATCGAAACTTGGATTTCAAAATTACAGGTTCAAAACCATGGTGTGCAGCCAATCTTCTTGCACACTTTGTGTAGAACAGCAACGACGCGGTCGAAGTTCAGAGAGGCGTCCTCTTCCACTTTGAACCCGTTCCTATGCTGCGAACACAGCAAGAAGAAGTTTGCGGATTGGGGCTGTCTGCTTGTCCAGTTTCTCTTCCAGTATGGCGTCCCCGAAGAGTTGTTGTAAAATGTCACCAGAAGAAGCCTGAGAGATGCTGACATTCAATGCAAGATGACGTGATAAGCACACTCTCAGGAGTGCAGCCGAATTGCCACGCTCAAATATCGGTGCCCGGCTTGCGACCAGGCCTGTCCTGTCCGGCCTGTCCGCCACGGACTCCGGCGGGCTTTCATTAACCAGCCTGTCAGCACCTGACATCCTCAGGTGTCTGCTCGTATTTGCAAGGTCTCATGGCCCATCATAGATTGAGGCCAGCAGCGTCTGACGCCAGCCGTGCAGTTGATGACTTTCAAGTAGTGGTTCTGCACTTTATGCCTCACGAGCTGCTACATGACGACAGGTTTTTTTGTTCCGACAGCGCTAAAAGCCGTCTAGAAACACCTCATCGCGAGAGAAGGCGACAGGATATCCCTTGCCAGCAAGGAATTGGTAGGCAGCGTAAAGGGGACCGCCTTGGTCTGCCTGCAAGACTAAGCGCATGATGTCCGTCGAGATCTGCTCCCACTCTGCTCGTCCCGTTTCAGTGTGGCACAAGAAAGAGTACTTTCCGTAAGTCAGGCGGGCGAGCTTGTTCGAGGGATCGGCACCTTTCAAACCAACATGTGGCCTCACCAATTCCACAGACAACAAATTCGTCATGCGCACCACGGCTTGTAGATGTTCTCTGGAAGCCAGTCGTTCCTGATGCACTTTGCTGATTGTCTTGGGCCTGAGCCGTGACAGCAAAAGCGGATTGTACTTTGAACACACCACATGACTGCGTGTGAGCCGGGTCACATCTGTGCCAGAGTTGCTTGTTTGTTCCTGCTGCGATCGAAGTTGGCAGATAAATTGTCGGCTGCCTTCTGCAGTTCCTCCATTTTTGTTTCCACTGAGGCTGTGCTGCACAGCAAATCACTCATTCTCTGCAGAACAAAGCTGACCATGGTGTCGTTCACCGACACCAGTGGCAACCAGACCTGATTGTATCTGCGTTCGAAAGGAAAGAGAAACTGCTTTAAAATCTTGAACTAGTGGTGCACCGAGAAGCATCCGCTTTTGCTTTCGGGGAAGCATCAGAGATGATGTTTAGACTCTTGAACATGGCATTGTCCAGTTCCTGCAAAACCAAGACGCTTCTTTGACTCAGAAGACTTACGCAACAGGGCGTCCTTCTTCAATTCCGTGGCCGATCTGCTGAAGTACCGAAAAGCGAAGTCACAGCTCAACCTGAGAAAAGTGAATCAGCAGTCATTCTTCAAGCAGCAGGCGCAGCAGGAAGAGCTTATTACTTGCAAGGCGAAGGGCCTGTGATAGTGGGCTGGACACATGTCACCCAGACCCAGATCGAACAAGCTCTGTTCGGATCCTTGTGTGTTGAAGCCACTGGATCTCGCCAGAAAGCGTTCCAACGCCATGATGTCTTTCAGCTTTGGCTGTTTCTTTAGAGCTCGGCCATCCCTTTGCTGCAAGGGCTGAAACATGTACAGCACATTGGCGCCAGTAACACTAAGCATACAAGGGGCGTTCGCGCGGGATGGAAAGAATCAGCTTCTCCTGGCAATGGGACCTCCTTGTCTAACTGCAAAGGCAAATTCTCTTCCGCTTTCTGTGCGAGGATGTGCACGATGCGCTTCTGGATGCGAGAAGCAGAAAGTTGGTCCTGCGTAGTGGAATTTCGTATCTGTACTCTTGTGCGCTAACACAACAGCAACGTGTGGATCCGTGTTCCTGGCAGACTTTGTCTTGGAATGGAGCACGAAGAACGAAGAACAGCAAATCCCATGTTCGAACACCTTGGTCAATGAGATTTTACGCGACCGGTCTGACTGCATCATCCGTCGCCTGAATTCATCTTCCGCTGCGCTGCTGTCAACATAGGAAACTTCGCCCACCTGCAAAGTTGTAATGTGTCACATAACGACACTCACGACCCCCCCACATGCCTCTCCTGCCATCCCACGCAGTCAAGAAAGCGCGAAAGACTCTCCAAATCTACATCGTGGTCGACACATCTCACCTCGCCTCAGCAAAGAAGCAGAGCAAGAATCATTTTGCAAAAAGAGGCAAGCGGCAGTCTCTGGATAGTCAAGACACAAGCTGGAATGTTTGGCAGAAGAGCAAGCGTCATGTTGCCGGGGCATGCTGCCGAAATCATAGATTGGAAAAGAAGCATTGCTCCCTTCTGCAGGTCAGGCTTGCAGCCGCGAATCTGGAGCACGGAAGCTGCCTGAGCACGGTGCACTTTCGCCCCTACATGTGTGTAAGTTTAACATAATGTATGACAAGAAGCCACAAAAAGAAGTCCCACCATCGTGACGGCGTCGAAAGCAAAGCGAACTGTTTGTGCTGAGGGTGTGGACAGCTTGCCTTTGTATTCGGAACCACGAATGATGTGTTTCGGTATGCTGATTCTCCATTTGGCTGCAATCTCTGCCGTGATGTTGTTCTCCCTGAGAAAAAAAATCATTTACGCCGTACAACCAAAACCCAAACAGACTGACGAGCTCAAAAGAGTAGCGCATCCAAGGAGCAACTTGGAATACCAATTGAAGAAGGGTTGTTTTCTCTTCAACAAAGGCCAAAGCTGCTGTATACGGAAGAAGCAGCGGTAACCGTCTGATGAATCGGCTTCCCCAACCTTGCACAAAGACTCTTGCCCTTCATAGGATGAAACCGGCGTTTCTCGCTTGCCAGCAAGCAACCATGTGAGTCTGCAGCACACCCTTCAACCCTTCAGTTGTGCGCAGGTACATCGTCTCGTTCCGTGTGTACTTGCTGGGGCTTGCCACTTCCTGGACGGCATCCTCTGACGCTTCGTCTTGCCGTAGCACTAAGACATCCACGGCTTGCTGCTGCTGTTGCATGTGCTCGGGTAAACGTGGTCGCAAGAACAGTCCGATGGCTGCTGCTTCTGCACGATGAGCATCCAACAGAGCCTCTCAGAAGGTTGCGATTACTAGCAAGGTGCTTCCATGTCATGACCGGTAGAAACCCGCCTCCCAGTCTGACAGAGGTAGCGTGCCGTCATCGCAACGCCCCGTCGTCATTGCTCTGTCGTCAAGTAGACGAAGCTTCTTCAAGAACCTCTCTCCAAGGTTCCTCTTTTCCTCTTTGTCCGTAGTCCTTGTGTGCGTGCAGAACGCACAAACGAAGTGGAACGCTGAAACGCAAAAACAGCAGCCTGCCTTGACATTTCCTCAATTCTCTCCTTGAGCCATTTCTCCATCCTTGGTTGCATTTTACGTTTCCACATCGTGCGGTGTACCGGCCCCGAACGGTTTGCATTCCGCATCAGGCCGTGTGTCGCCGCGACGTGGTCGCCACGTGGCGGCAGTAGATGGGCTGAAGTGGAACGCTGTCCTGATGTGGAACGCAGGCGATGTGGAACGGTCTAAAGCAGCATTTTTGCCGAGACCTATGCAAATTCACGTTTTTAGGGGGTTTTGCATTTCATGGTTCCACTTCAGCCCGTGTGCAGACGCGTCCTACTCACCACGTGGCGTGCGGAAACGCCTCCCTGCACCCACGTGTCCGTCGAAGTGGAACGCTGTTCAGCTGCGAGCCTGAGGAAGAACGACTCACGCATGTGGAACGCAGAAATGCCAAAAGGCCTTCCAGAGCCCGGGCAACCCTCGCAATACTAAAAATGAAAGAAAACCACCAGGACAGAATTGAGACCTGAATTGGGAAGCCAGGAGACGCAGCCGGCACTGCCACCGTGCGCACCCATGGGGCAGAAACAAAAGGTTCCGTGTCTTGGGAAATAGAAGCAAAGTCCCGACTAGCTTAGGGAGGATTGCGTGAAACCTGCCAGAAACACTCTTAGTCGATACGATGTTGCATAGAGAAACATCTCAACTCCTTGACTGCAAAACTGACAAATGCATCTTCCAGACGGAAGCAGCCGTCCTAGCTGGTGTCCTGGCTGCAAGAGTGCAGACCTTTTTTTCGTAGAGGAACAGGCTCTGTCACTGGAGGCTCTATGGATGCTGCGTCCGCGTCAAGACATCCCGGTCCCCAGCAAACACAAGTCTTGGAAGAGATGTCCTTTGCTATCTTGCTTGCCTCGAAGTCAGACATCTCCTGTTGTGGAAAACCACTGGGTCTCATTGTGTAGCTCAGGGTGGGCAAGCAAATCTCACTTCATGAGTCCTGTGCGTGATGTGCCAGGTTCAGAAGAAGACGTCTCCTGAAAGGAGCGGGTCCAAGTAGATCAGGTTACATACCGCAGTGTTGCACACACACACACACACACAGTACTCCTTGACCGCAAGAGGCCAAGCAAGGAAGAGCTTCTTGCCCTTGATCGTGAGGTCATAAAACCATTTCTGAGCATCGGCACCCAGCATACTCGAGATGTCTCCTGCATGCATATTCCCATGGTCAGCACTGTTGTAGTCTAGATTACAGAACAACGCACAAAGCAAAAGCCTGGTTCCATATCTGCAAGATTCTCCAACGCATCGGACAGCGTCAGGATGTCTTCACTGACTAAGATGCGCATCATGCACAGCAGGTCGTTCCTTGGCTAACATGAGCGTCGCAATCATGCTTGCAACATCACAAGAGTTGGAGACTGCGAGCAAGCACTGAAAGAATCCTAGCGGAATGAGCAAAGACAAGAGTCTTGGAAGCGGATCCAGGCAGCACGGAGAGCAAATCATCACCGAGCTTGCCACGAAGAGTGTCAAGCTCAGAAGCATATGCTTCTTCTGCTCTCTGCTGGTTGCTGCTGTCTTGAAAACCTGGCGGTTGTGTTGTCTCGGCGGCATGCTCTGGATCCGGTTCGGATGCTTCCTGCGCGGACGGGGGGTCATCATCATCTCGGCTGAGATCCTGCTTCTTGGGCCTCTTTGCTTTTTTTTTGGTGGAGGCTGTCTTGCGACGCCTCCGTCGTGCAGAGCTTTGCGGGGTCAACGTGGGCTTAAACTTGCCACCCAGTACATCTCCGTCCTCATCATCATCTGACTGTGTGCCTGCATCCTGGTCCGACCCCTCAGCATCCGAGTTCACCTCCTTTCCTTTCGTCTTCGGCGTTACGAACAACCGTCTGGGTGTACACTGCTCTTTTTGTCTTGTCTTCTTCTCTCTGCCACGCTTGCGAGGACTGGGTGTGTGCGCCTCCTTCTTGATCTTCATGGTACCCTCTTCTGCAAAGTCAGTAATGCGCTTGATGTCCTTCTGTGCCTCCTGCCAGCGAAGCAGAAGAAAGCATGCGTCTCACGATATATAGCACCCTATCATCGCAAGCACCTTTTTTCTATCGTAGACAGACTCGCGGACATCACGTCATTGTCAAGAAAATCTTCGCTTTGTACATGCATGCAGGCATCTGAAAGCCCGCAGCAAACTGTGGTTTCAAGCGTGATTCAAATCACGTACAGCAAGTACCATTCATGTCCACAAGTCGCAGCAACTAGCGATTGCCTCTCCATTGACCGCCACGCTGACGACTGCGACCATACATTGTCTTCTCCTCTGCACGTGAATGCCTCGAATGTGCTGCTACAAGGGTAAAAAAAATCCCTAAACATAAAAAAAAAAGGACCATGTAAGCAAGAAACTTTACCTGAACTTCGACATCTTCTTCCGTGTTGGCTTCCTGACGTAGAACATGTGCGGGCGGAGGTCCGGGGGGCGGCACTGGAACCTTGCTGGTCTGTCGCGTTGGCGGGGACGGCATCTTCTTCGTCTGCGGGATTAGCAGTACAGGCGGTCTGGACCCCGTTGCCTTCTTTGTCTCTGCGATACCGCTTGGCTCTACTTCATTGGGGACGAACTTGGCGAAGATTTCCAGGGTGCCATGCTCCAAGCGAAACTTGCCAACGCGTCGTGCCATATGAGCATGGCTGTTCTTGCGAAAGTCTGGATCCACGGCTGGCTTAGTGTCAGCAGGGGTGCTCCTCTCCTGCTGATCCCGTTGCACATTCTGGTACTGTCGCAC